AAATTTTTGTCAATGGTAACAAATTTCATAACCAATTGTAAAAAAAATTCTTTTGTAATTGACAATTTCCATGTAAAGTCAAACGTGAACAAAAAGATTCAAACTTTTAAAAATTTTCCATGTAAAAAATTATATCAATCAAATACACTTAATTACAATTCCCAATAAAACATTTTCTAGAAAAATCTTTTATCTATAAAACATTTTCTTTCCACCAATTTTCCACCCTTACAATCAAGCGAAACCTTAGTGTCTAATTTTATTTCTATTTGACGGGACAAGTAAACAGGAAGAGATGTCAGAGGAGAGGAACTCGAAAAAGATCTATTTTGAAAACGGTAGTTAAAACTTACAACATTTGGATAGGAAATTGTAGTCATTATAAATAATTCATTAATATAAGTACACAGAGAAGAGCTCTATGCAATTTTCAAAAACAAACACCCTTGAACAAAACAGATATTTTTCGATCCAAGGAACTACAATACGTCACAAGTTTATTGTGCAAAATTGGCAATTACTAGAAAATCTCATTCCACATCAAGAATAAGGGCAATTAGATGGAATACTCAAAATTTCATTACAAGATACAATAACAAAAGTAAAAGTATGTGCTTCCAAACTATTGATGTAGAAAAAAAAGCTTTCTTCCCTTCTGCTAAAAAGTGCAGCAGCATTTTTCATGAGTTATATATGCTCAATGCTGAACCCTATTGGCATGTAAGGACAATACGCGACTAGACACGGGGAAAGTTGAAAACATTGCCACAAATCTATAAATTTGACTCACGAGTTCTTAGCCCCATTGACTAAACTCACAGCTGCTTCGACATTCTTGGCCAGCTCAACAGCTGCCCCAACATAAGTATGGGGTGTTAAATTTAAGAGACCTTTCTTAGCCTCAAATGGTATATCCAACCCTTCAATGAATTCTCTTATACTTTCTTTTGTTACAGCCCTTCCTCTTGTTAGCTCCTTCAATTTCTCATAGGGCTCCGGTACACCATACCTTCGCATCACCTACAACAAGAAGAAAAATATAAGAAAAGAAAGATGCCCCCACTAGTTGGACGATTTCTTAATTTTCAACATTTCTTGCAACTTTGTTGAGCCAGTTCATCTTACGACATGGAAGGCAAGAATAATGAAGGTTTTTTTTATAAGTACTATTTATGGGTGCCAATTTTGAAAAAGACCCCAATCTTTATTGGAAAAACAGTTAAAAAGTATGAGAATAGGGCTTAGTGTTAGGAGGATGCCAATTGATATAATTGGAATGCCAACGCTTTCCATGTGTCCCTGAAGCACTGCCAAATTTCAAGGGAATGCCTTGAAACATAAGTTCGAAACATGGCTCAATATCAACGACAAATTTCCATAATTAATGAGGTAAGAATTTTTAACGTTACAGAAGGTACATACAGTTTGTATTGGCTCGGCAAGAACCTCCCATGTCTGGTCCAGGTCTTCAATCAAAGAAGCTTTATTAACCTATATTTAAATAAGAAAGGAAGATATTGATATGAAGTAAAAAAAAAAAAAGATGCAGGTTTCTACAATTTATCAGGCTACCATTGTGTATCACGAATCTAGCAAAAAATTGAATCGTTCTCTATTTAACATTTTCGAAGAAACAAGGGGAAAAAAGGAAAAACAAGAGAAGATCGCAAGAACATCAAAAATGGTACACAGCCAAGAAAGACCACCAATCACACTGAACACCAGAAACAAACAACACTTGGAAGAGACGTACTTCAAAACACTAGACATGGACACTTTTAGATTTGGAGAAGACGTGATCTTCTCTGAATTCCTGATAGGTTGCTTTCGTAATTTTGCCCATCATTGGAGTAATACAATGTTATTCAATTATATTTCTTACCTGAAGCTTTGCAATTCCCTGTAATGCACTTTTATAAGCAAGAAGAGAATGTCCTAATCCTACACCCATGTTCCTCAGAACAGTTGAATCAGTCAAGTCTCGCTGCAATTAACAAGAATAGAAAGAAAATCAGGAGCTAGCTCGGCATAAACCTATTACAGCAGGTTTTAGAGGCTTTTTATTTGCAAATTGCAAAAAGAATAAATCATGAGCATGACCCCCATGTGATACAACGCGATCTTGGCACCTAGTAGTATAAAGTTCAACAATCCACTTACCAAATTTCATAACATGGAAAATAGTAAATACCTGCCAGCGAGAAATAGGCAATTTTGTGCTTAAATGAGATAATCCTCCATTAGCCATCCCAAGATTGCCCTCACTATTTTCAAAATCAATTGGATTAACTTTATGAGGCATTGTTGAGGACCCAATCTCACCAGCTTTAGTTATCTGCTTCAGATTTAGCATGTCAATTCTTTCCCCCTTAAAAAATACCAGCACAGTTAAAAATATCCTCACCTGCTTGAAGTAACCCAAAGAAATGTATCCCCATACGTCTCTGCTGAAGTCCACTAAGACGTTGTTGAACTGGATGGTGGAATGGAAAAGTTTGGCCATATAATCATGAGGTTCAATCTGTATAAAGACCAAAAAGATAAAAATGATGAGTTTAAATTGCATAAAATAAATTCTTTCTTATTCTTCCTAAATATTTGGTGAACTTGCACCTTACTCATAGTTTTACAAGCCAAAATATGGTTCTATTCGAGGGGTATGATAAAGCTAATGAGAGGTATTTTCAAGGACTTGAACTTCAATATATAATCTGAAGGGCTCCTAATTCTCCAACAAATCAAGTATTAAATAGGAAAAAAAAAATGTTGAAGACTGCAATAGAGAAGCAAGGGTGACTTTAGCAGTCCTAAATTTCACAAGATTAGGACCCTATGAAGCTATTAAAGAAAGTCAATAAATTATTATTCACATCGACAAACCGTGAAAAATATGCAAGCAGAAATATATTTTACCTAACATACCTGAGGCACATAGGGATTGAAACTTATTCCGAGCGATGTTACAAACTCCTCTGCGACCTGTGGCCAATTAATGTCGGGATAAGCAGCTAGATGTGCATTGTAGTTTCCAACTGCACCAGCAAACTTCCCTAAAATCTCAATTTGAGATATATTCCTCCTTTCTTGACTTAACCTGTATGCAAATATTGCCATTTCCTTCCCCAACGTAGTAGGTGAAGCTGGCTGTCCATGAGTTCGAGAAAGCATTGGAATTTTAGCATTTGCAGTGGCCATGTTAGATATTGCGGTGATCAGCTTGTCCATGACTGGTAGCATGACTTTATTCAAGACTTCTTTAAGCATCAATGCATGGGCCAGATTGTTAATGTCTTCAGATGTGCAAGCAAAATGAAAAAACTCAAGTACCTTAGCTATCTCTAGATGTGATTGGCATCTTTGTTTCAAGAAATATTCCACTGCTTTCACATCATGGTTAGTCACTTTCTCGATATTCTTAACTTCCAAGGCATCATCCAAGCTAAATCCGTCAATCAATTCTTGCAAAAAAGATTCTGCTTCTTCAGAGAACCTTGGGACTTCAGGAACATCAGGAATTTGGGACAACTTTATCAACCACTTAATCTCGACTAAAACTCGAAACCTAATTAGGCCAAACTCACTCATAAATGGAGATAATTCCTTGACTTTAGCCCAATATCGACCATCCAGTGGACATAGAGCAGTTAAACTTGAGAGCTCCACATCCCGATAATAATCAGCAGACATAGCTTTTACCTTTTCTACAGCTTCAATACTGCTATCGGTCTCTTTAACAGTGGCACTACAACAGCAACTTCTAAGAGCTTGAAACGAAGCGCTTGAAGCATAATTATTACAAGGACGCGAAAATTTAATCGAATGTTGGTGTGATGGGATGCAATACGGCGTCGTTCGGTTGAAATTCAAACCCCTAAAACAAGCTCCCAGTTCCATTCAAATAGCTCGAATAGTAGTTGCCAAAAGTGCAGTCACCAAATTA